TTTTTTTAATTAGGGCCCGAGGTGGTTGCACCTATAAACAACACGTAGGGTCAACCTTGCATGTAAGTAGACATTTTCTCTCACCTTAATTTTTCTACATTCACAAGAGTCAAAATTTGATCCTCGTACCATTTAGTTAAGCAACGAGAATCTCTCACCATTTGTACCAACTCAAATGAGTAATTATATTGTATATTACATTTACACTTAGTTTAGTGAAGCAAAAATAATATATATATATATAGAGAGTGAGGAGGAATCCGTTTATTTTAGGAGTAAGTTTATCTGGACTTACTCCGTTCAATAACTCATGTTCTACATCAAATTTCAACGATCTAACCGTTGAATTTAGAGTTTTTAATGCATAGATCAAATTTACAAATTTTTTAAAAATTTGAAAACTATTTAATACTTCGTTTCATTAATTCAAATCAATGTATAAATTAATTTTATAATAACCCGTCAATTTTAATTAATGCAATGAAGTATTAAATAATTTTCAGATTTTCTAAAATTTTGCAGACTTGATCTATGCATTAAGAACTTTAAATTCAATGGTTGATGTAACGACCCGCCTAGCCATCACACACAGCTCACAACACATCACTACACAGACAAGAGCATACATATATAAAATAAATATATACAATACGTCTAGCTTGGGGCTCAATGTACAAAATACATCCAAGTTAGCCAAACTAGTGGCCAAAAACAACAAAAGTATAAACTCCATCTGCCAGCTGCAGACCGACTTCAGAACACCAACCTAACCCTGCTCTGCTCTCATACATAGTATGATCATTGCAGTCCAAACCACATGGAAACAACAAAGGGTAAGCTAGTGAAAAGAATCAACATATAAAACATATATAAGAAATATGAACAGTTACAACTATCAACATATCATATAGTTCAACAATCATCAGCATACATCTCAAATCATTCAGCAATAACAGCAGTAAAAACACAATGCATTGTCACGCATATCAACTCGGAGATCTCCTACAACAGCTCAGCCTTACGACCTACAACAGCTCAGCCTTACGGCCTACAACAGTTTATATCAGCATACAACACAGCTCAACAATATACAACCCAACTCAAACAACATACAACCCAACTCAAACAACTTACAGCACAGCAATATTATAAATCAGCTCAACATTCAACAATAACAGCTCACAGCACAGCAATATCATCATTCAGTTTAACATCATACATCAAAAGCATCTCAGCTCAACATATACCAACATTAATCAGCATTTCTCAACATATATCAGCATATAAATGAACATCACATTCGCGCCCGGCATACTCCTGGTCGCACCCAGTGTGGCCCAACCAGAGAGTACCAGGGCTAAAATGCGCCCGGCGCAATTCTAATTGCGCCCGGCGTGCTAGGAGGTAGAGACTCCAAAGAGCCTCACACGCCTGACGTGCCAATTCCGCGCTCGGCGCAAGGAAGGCAGAGACCTTCCCAGGGTCTCACACCCGACGCAATACCAATTGCGCCCAGCGCCACCTCTAGCAGAGACTCCCAAGGAGTCTCCACGCCTGGTGAGACGTGGTCACGCCCGGCGCCACACCAGAAACCCAAAATGCCAAGTTACTTCATGATATCGCGCCCAGCGCGGTCTAACCACGCTCGGCGTGGGCCATCCAGAGGCTCACATCCTCAAGCTCGCCCGGCGCACACACCCTTGCCCCCGGCGGGCTTGCCCAATGGAGCCCTTTGGTGGTCACGTGCCCGGCGCCAAGAACTGCGCCCGGCGTGATACCCAGCAGCAAATCACCAAGTTCGAAAATTGCTTCAAAAACCTGCATAAACAGCCAGAAAATTCACATGCAATCGGCCCAAAACATCACATTTTCATCAAATAACCCAAAAATCCCATCTTTACCCACATGCAACCA